AAAAATATTAATTATATGTCAAAATTCAACACAATGATTCGAATTTTACTTTTCCCATATCAAACGTGTAGACTCTTAATAAAAGATCTCCATCTTTTCTTTCTTTTCCATTTATGTAAATTCGCTAGAGCTAGGTGGGGGTCAGCTTTGACCGGTCTATTCAAACCCATTTTTCATCGTAGTTAATAACTAATTAAATCCATACTTTTAGATTCTGCAAAATAGGATGAAAATGATTACTCACACTATTAGTCTCTAAAATGTTAAGAACATTTCATTCTGCTCCACAAGGTTCTAAATTTGACACTTTAGTCCTCCTATTTGATTTTTATTGCAATTGGATCCTCTAGAAATTGTAGTAGGCCCAGTCCATTTACCAAGTCAGGTTTGATTTTGTATCAGATTGTTGAAATCCAACAAAGCTAACTTTAAGCTTGGCCCAGTCGAGATCTCAAAACCTTACAGTAGGGTCTTCCCATTCTCATTTATTTGCCTTTTAACATTCTGACAAGTTTAATATTTGAAATAAATCGTTTATTAGGTTATTGAATTAATTCATTTACTGTGCCTAAAGTTGATATGCCACAAAAGAATGCTACTTCCAAATAGATTCTACAATTGCCCAGAAAAAGAAAACAAAAACTGTTCACTACAATTTCATCAGTAAGAGTAAATAAAGTTACAACTAAAAAAAGATGTGTGGAAAGCGCTTAAGAAAATCAGAGGTCCATGGAACTGAAATTTCTTCATACTGTTAAAAATCAACAGAACTCAACAGCAACCGTTCTTCGCTTGTCCATCCACTTCTTGGGTACCATCAGCCTGTAAAACAACGGTTTTCCCATCTGCCATCCAGCTGGGATCATTGCGTTTGAGTTCTTGAGATTGAATAACTTTCCGACTTAAAATGCTGTAAATCTCTTTGACTACCATCTGAAAGGCAACAGTAACATTGGAGGAATCTAGAGCTGAAGTTTCAATGAAGAACAGGCCTTGTGCCTCAGCCAAATCCTTGCCTTCAGCAGTTGTGACCTCCCGAGCATCTTTGAGGTCGGATTTATTTCCGACGAGTATTGTAACTACGTTCATGTCAGAATGAGCTGTTCCAAATCAACCACTCAAATCAGATCCCAGTCCCATCAGTTAGAAAAGCAAAAATTTTAACAGTTAACTGCAACATAGCAACTCATAAAATATATATGTTAAACTGTTTCAGGTTCTACGACTTAAAGCAGATATAACCACACAAATATGACCAGTGCATCAAGCAAGAGTCCCACATCATAGCGATAAGCTCAGAAAAATTCTAGGGATAAAAAAGTGAATCCTTTTCCCAATTTTTTTATTTCTTTCTTTCTTTCTTTTTTTTTTTTAAAGAATAGCACAAACATAGAAGAAAACCATAATCTTTAGGGTGGTGAATGTCGTGCTGATAATGATTGTAATGAGTACCTGGTGAAAGGTTCTATTGTATTTTCAACGGAAAAAGAAAAGGCGCATAAATAAAAATTATGTGAAATGTTTGAATGTCGGGTTGCTTACTGTGAAGTTCATTAAGCCATCTGCCAATGCTATCAAAGGTCTGGCGTCGACTGATGTCGTAGACCAGAAGAGCTCCAACTGCACCTCGGTAATATGCAGATGTAACAGCCCTGAACCGCTCCTGACCAGCTGTGTCCCAAATCTGAGCCTTGACTTCCTTCCCATTAATTTCCATCTTCTGGGTCTGAAACTCTACCCCAATAGTTGATTTTGAATTAGGGTAAAACTCATCTCTTGCAAATCTAGCCAGTAAGTTCGATTTACCTACAGCTGAATCACCAATTAAAACAATCTTGAAAAGGTAATCCTCGGTTTGTTCCTCTTCTGTGTAATGCGCCATTATTCAATCTTTTTAACAACGCGCTAACAGACCATATTTATTGATGTATATAGACAAACTAACAAAATTGATAAGAACTAAACACCCAAACAATCAAACTGCACTTCTTTCCCCAGATGAGGAAAAAAATATCTGAGGGAAGAGGTCCCCAGAAGAATCTCGAAGGGCAGTTTCAGTTGCACAAAAGGTAGTAACTTCCACGACCCTAAAGTGGCTGCTTTCTTACGAACCCAAGTGCAGGGAAAACTAGCTATCTAAGATTTCAATCCAGTCCTCCAGAAAGGTGAAAGCTTTAAGGTACCTGCTTATCAAGCAAGCATTAGAAACCAAAAGTTCTACAAAGAATTCAGAAAAGTTTTGCTTTTAAACTGCAGATAAATTATAGTCAAATCGTAGAATTTACAACACAAATGTCAGAATGTCTATCAAATGCATTCTTTGTTACGTCTATTACAGCTATTAATCTGGAAGGAGTCTTTAATTTGCACTATGTTCTCCCCTTGCTATATCTCCATCCCTGTTCTTTTAAACTAAAACCAGCAAAGAACTATTTATTAAGGTATCACAACACACTACTAGTACAAATGAACTACATAAATTTCACACGATAAGGGGAATGTCAGCATTCCTGATTAGTTGCAGAATTTTACAGGGAAAAAGTCTGTCCATGGAGATCTAACTAATCTCAGTGCAGACATCATCTATCTAACAATTTATTTGCAAGTGTCCATATAAACATCTTAAGATAACATATTGGTATCACAGAGTTAGAATGTACACAATTTCACTACGAAGCCACATGTCCAAGACACTTCTACAAAGCCATGTATATCTGATATTCTGTATGTAAAAGATATGATTTATCCACCAAATGTTATAGCAATATGATTTCCACTAAAAAACACAAAGAGGTTCAACAGTCACAATGTGAACTAAGTAAAAAAATTGCAAAGACACATATCTACAACTGTCAGAAGTACCAAATGTTTATGTTATAATTTTCAGGAAAACTTTAATTTCATCTTAGAGTTATTATTATAACCAGGGGTAAATGGAGAAGTGGTCCATACTTGTGGTCCTACTAAATGTGTGGATAAAAAGTGGTTTAACCAAAAGTATTATTTGATCAAGGTGTTTAAACGCCTAGAAACACTTATCCAGACATATGCTAAATGTTGAGAATCGGTCTTTGTTTGTCATTGTGATCAAAATAATACTGAAAATAGACTCCTATAAAAGTATGAAGTAGATAAATGCAAGCAATTGTCACACAGTACAACTTCTAAGTAATTTTGTGATCTAGCAGTCCCCCATTGAAGATGGTGTAATGTGAAAAAAGATGGAAAAAGGAAAAACTATGTCATTTAAGAAGTGAAGCTATTAAATTTTGTTCTATTTTCGTCTCACGAATGATAATAATAGTCACATAAACAACACAAAATTAATTTTTCATCACTAGAAGTCAAAAAATATTGTAACCAGAAGGCTTAAAATAAAGCCCAGTCAGTCACTTCGAATAGAGACATTCTCCTCAGTGCACCTTAATTCATTACATACATTTGAACAATGAATAGCACAGAAACTCTTCATAGAATTAACTAAGCAAAGTTTTAACAGACGCTCCGATCTCATTGATGTTGCATTCATCACATATTATTCTTAGTATGCAATTAGCAAATGTCCCATCCTCCTGGACTTGAAGACCTCTCTCTAATATTATAAATAAACACCGTCAATGTTTAAGGAAAATGAATCTTGAATGAAGAGAAACGTTCACATTTCCATGTGGTCTCATTCATCCTTCGCAAGCTAATCAAGTTGGCTTGGAAGCCTCAGTTCGTAATGATCTATTTTAGGGTTATGCCAGCGAAGATAGGTGGATTTGGTAATTGGTATGTTTCGATCCCGATTCTTAGGTGCTTTATCTTGCAGGCCTAGTTGTCAGCCTTTGTTTCCTTGGTCGGTCCCAGGCTTGTAACCATTGTCAAGACGAAAAAAGGATGTCCTTACCATAATTGGATGGTTCAACAACAGTATGGAAACGCAAATATAGATGAATACCACATGCTACAGCCATAATAGTTTCTGGTCAATGTCTATCAAATCTCCCAAGTGATAACTGACTTGAGATATCACAACAAATCAATCACAAGAAACACATTCATGACACTCAATTCGGACAGATGATTGCACAGATTGGACCCACACAGCATACAATGTCATATATTCTCCGGACCATGTAACATCTTAGCAATAAGGTGAAGAACATTCAAAGTAATCATAAGAACACTAGAGATGGATAAATTAAACGTGAATATCACATCGATAATATGATTATATATGTTAAGGGATAAATCCAAAGCGGTTAAATACCAAAAATATAGACCAACATATAAATGATTGGACTATTCCTCTTCTCTTAATAGGGTTAACTTACTCCTCTTCTCTTAATAGGGTTAACTTTTTAAGATGGAACCCTAAATCTTTACATGGTATTGGAGCCCATTAAATAGCAATCCGATTCAATTAAGACTCAAAAATAGCATGTGAATTTCAAGATTAGCCTACTCATAGGTTCACCTTTTAAACTGGAACCCAGGTCTTAATAATATATACAAATATTATTTTACATAATTTCCAAATAACATGCTTCAATGAAAACCAGTAAAATCGAGTTTGAACGGCTCTCACTTAGAAAGTAGAAAGCCATTTTCTGAAGAATGTTTAAATGGCTTTTAGTATATCTAATACTTGTCTAGTACATTAACATTGTCTTTTTACTCGAAATCCATTAGCCTATAAAATGAAAAACTTAGGCAAAAGACTATAATGGCTTTTAACGCTCGCCGATTAACAAACAAAACACAAGACCCTAAATCCAATAAATAGACTTGCCAGGAAAAGAAATCAATCATTCACAAACATTGAATCTTTGCCTAAAAAAATATATTGAACGAAATTTCCTTCAGACCCTTTAAATCAGGAAAATGGCGCGTCAAAAGCTAATGTACGAAAATTGTGACAAAGAGTTTATTAAACATACCCACTTCTTCGATTAGAGGATACAATCTTTTCCTTAATTTGTCCCCCTCACATGTCCGTGATCAAATCAGAACGTTCCAAATGCACATCAAAGAAAACAAAAAGACGGACAAAAATAATAATAATATTTCTAGAAATTTGTCAAAGAGATGAAACGGATCAAATGAAAATTAATGGCTCTGGGTTTTGGAGAGAATCGAGCAAGGTTTCAACGATTGATCAGAGAAGTGAGCCAGATGGAGAGAGGGGGAGCAAGATTTACAGTTGCTGGGCAGAGACAAATAGATGCGTCTACAAACATGAATAAATATTGCTTTCGGCCCACTGGACTATAAGATTACTGGCCCAATTCTATTGAATAAGTATCCGTGGGCAACACAATTAATTTAAGAATAATGCTATCTGTCACCAGTATTGAATATCAATTTAGATGTCAACATACCATATGTTCTATTAAATGAGTTATAAATTCTTGTATTTAATTGAGCATCTAATTTAGTATTTGCAGTACTATCGCCTAAGCTAGTGTTAAACACAAGTGATATATTAGTATTACTCTTAGGTATATTTCCGCTTATTTTGTCATAGATTGTACCATAGAAACGTGATTAACCTTCAGTTTGAACCTTTTTTCATTTAAAATGACTTCAATTGCTTCGGAGGACAAAGATTAATCATCAAATATCAAGAGAAATTTGATTTCAATTGTAAAATGTGCTATAATTAGTTGAGCACTAGAACTACATTCACAGTGTATTTGGGTTAGGGATGTAAACGAGTCGGGCCGAGCCGGCTCGCGAGCCTAAAATTTCGGCTTAGGCTTGGCACGATTAAAATGGCCGAGTTTTTTTGCAGGCTCGAGCAAGGGCCGAGCAAAAGTTCGGTAAAAAAAAAAAGGCTTGGCCAAGCTTTTGCTCGGGCTTTTTACGGGTCAAGCCGGGTAGGCTCTTTTTTTTTTTTATTCCCTCCTAAACTTCGACTCTATTATCACTTCAGTATCAATTTTAAAGTAATTACATGTCAATGCTGATTTAAGACAATTATTTAATATTTGTCTTAAAGTAATTTAGATGTATTAAGTTAAAAGATCTGGTTGATATATATTCAATTTCTTGATTACCAGAACTATTTAAGGGAGCATCATGATGATATTTTATATAGTAACAGGTAACACTTTTAGGTGGATGTTTGTATAATTAAAATAAGGCAGCTAAGAGGCAGTAAATTTAAATTTTTTTTTTTTTTTTAAAACTCGCGAGCTCACAGGCCGGCTCGGGCAAAGCCCGTGTCCCCAAAATGGGGCTCGGGTCTACCGAGCCTCGAGCTGAGCCACGGGCGGCCCGAGCCCGATTGCCATTCCTAATTTGGGTCGATGAATATCAGAGTTATCGTCCTTAGAAAGGAAAATATTCATAACGTGCTTACAACTTTATAGGTCAATAGTCCTTATTAAGGGTAGCTAGTAAGGTCCCCCGCCCTCATTTAGTCCTAAAAACATACTATGTGGACGTTTGTTTTCCATTTTTGTAAAAATGAAAATGAAAAATATAGT